CAATGAGCTACATTCCCAGCCCTGAAACCCTCTTTACTCCACATTCACACTGGTGTGGAAATTAGACTGAGAGTAGACCCTTCAATTTCCAGTGTTGCTTGGGGGATGTCTGAGACTATTGTGATTCCTTACCAACTGTAACCTAATTTTACCTTTCCTAGGATCTTCTCTTTCTCTCTTCTGCTGCAAATTTTCTGTGGGTCTTTCTTCCTCTTCTTCTTCTTCTTTTTTTTTTTGGCAGTACTGGGGTTTGAATCCAGGGTCTCATGCTTACTAGGCAGGTGTTCTACCACAGGTCTTTCTTATTTCATTGTTCTAGATAGGTAACCTGTGTTGGTATATGCTTTGGCTATAGGAAATGGTCTTCCAGAATTCTCCCTCCATTTTACCTATGATCCTCTTGCCGCCTTACTTTATTACCTTAAAGATTTCAACTTAGTCTTCTAACTTTTCCACTGAAGCTTTTTAATTTTTAATTTCTGTGGCCGTATTTTTTAGTTTGGCTTTTCTTAGAATGGTTTTTAAAATGGCATCTCCAATTTAATGACCTCTCGTCCTCTCCTGCCCCTCTGAGAGAACTGGTAAGTATTGATTAGTCCTCACCTGCCCTGAGCACAGCCTTTATTTCCCTAAGTGCCTTTTTTCATGTCTTTGTCTTTCATGTTAGAAGCATTTTCCAAATGTCTGGTGATCCTTGGCTGTCCATTCATATTTCAGAGTTGGTCCTCCAAAGCCCACTGGAAGATCTATGAGTGGCAGGACCCTACCCTGCGGGGAGATCAAGTGGGGACCCAGATGTGCATCAGTATCTGCAAGCATCTTCTCTTGGATTTTCCATTTCCTCAGAGAGGATGACTCTAATCTGCTGGGGCATGGGGAGCTCGGCCAGGTGGGTTCCAAGCCTGACAACTAAGAATAATATGGCATTCTCACAGTCTCACTATTCATTAGGCCCTGTGTTCCTGAAGGCATCTCATTCTCACTTTTAGTTGTGGCCTGTCTTCAGTGTCATGCCCTTCTTGTTCACCCTTTCCTTACAGAAGCCACTCATCCTTTGTAGGCAGTCACTTGACTTCATAGGTTGGAGAAGGGAGTCTAATGTCTCCTATGGTTACCTTTCAAGCAATCCTTTTACTTTTTTCAGTCACGTCTGCATACCCCCTGCCACCTGAGGTATCTGGTGTTTCAAGTTCCTGAGCCTTGCTAGGGACTCTAGAGTCCAATTCCTTACAAATACTTGGTAGAAAAGAGGAAACTGAGACCTCATCAGTGTATTATTCAGGATTGACCAGCTATGATATGGTAACAAACCATCATCACCCCAAATCCCTGTGGCTTAACATGACCAAAGTTGTATCAGTCCCACACGGGTCAGCAGGGAACCCTGTTCACTATGGTCACCCAGGACCCATGCTGTGCTCAGAGGGGCCATCATTTGATGACTCCACCATCCTATCATGAGGCTTCCAGGTGTGTTGCCTGAAAGCAGCACATTTCAGTGCTTACACATCACTGGCCATGTCCTCTAGAAGTTTCCAGAGGATGAGGAAGTTCGATCTTGTCTATACTTGAAAGAGAACACAAATTCTGGAGAGCACTAATATGTCTAGTACAGTTACCAAAATTTTTAACATTTTATTGCTCTCATCTTCTGCTGTTTCCTCCATCCTTCTTCTTTTGTTACTTTATTATCATTTTATTGTAGTTTTATGAGACAGCAGAGGTAACACCATTTCAGGCGGCGTAACACACCACGCCACTCACAGTAGCCCAAACCTTCCAACACGTGCTGTGTGCTTGCTAAAGTCAATCTCTTGACTGTACTGTGACTGTTCTCCGCTCTGCATGGTTTCATTGCCTGCGTAAGCAGGGAGCTTTTCAGAATGGGCCATTCACTATCGATATTTTCTAAGAAAGGGGTTGGAAGGAAGTTCTCAGACATGAACCTGGAAAATGGAAACTCCTTGCTACAAGCAAATTGCATGTCTGTGACTTATTTTCACTCAGTGCTGAGCTTCTGTACATTCAGTAAGTTCTTGTGGTTGAGCCTTTCTGTCGTCCCATTCTGTACCAGCAATAAATGCCAGTTTGCTCCACATGTACAGCACCAATGCTCAGGGAATTAAAAGTGGGGTTAAAAGCAGATTTACCGACTAGCAATTGTCTGGCGAGTGGTCTCACAGGCGGTCTTGATCTCTATCTGTGCCACTGCAGTTTCTGATCTTGCCATTTTTCAAGGGCTACTTCTTCAGTCTGCTGACCATGTCAAATGGAAAGCCCCTTTTCCTAAAACTCTCTCTGTGCCCACATGGATCTGGCTGAGTCTCAAGTCTGCAGCCCTTTCATGTGGAAACTGCCTAGATATAATACTGATTTTTTTTTTCTTAAATCAGTGGTTCTTATCCTTTCACTTATGAAGACTCCCCGGAAGCATTTATAAAGCCAAACCAAACCCCAGAACACTGAGCTCTACCTCAGGTATTCAGATTTGGAAAGGAAGAACAATACTTTGCATTTTAACAAATGTTCCCCCACCCCAATGCAGGTCACACTACTTTTAACAGCACCTTTCCATTTTGTACAACAGCATGGGTAAACATTCCATAAATATTTTTTTGATGCTGAAGTAGAATAATACCTTAAAGGATAGTACACGAAGGTATTTCCTATAAATATGGCATGCCGAATAAACGCAACCCTCAGATTCAAATGGCTTAAAAATGACCGGGGGAGGATTTTATAGCACAGGTTTTTGGTTTTGCTGCCAATTAACTATTCATAACCCACTAAGCCTGACTCACCAATTCCTTAGCATCCAAGTTGATTTTCTGACACTATAGGTTCCTAAAACACCATTCAATATTCTATCGTTAGTTCCCCGTAATGAAACATTGTGCCAGAGGGCTAAACTGTCCTGCTAGCTAAATGTCTAAGAACCACCCTGACCCTACTGTTGGATGTGCTGGAGGTTCATCTTGACGCTTCAGGGCCACGTGGTTAGCAGGGCATTTCAAGGAGCCCGTGGCACCTGGGGAGGCTAATGAAAGAGGCCAGAACCCGGAACAAATACTCTGGCAGCTTCTAGAAGCTGCTGACGGCTTTCTAAGTTTCTAGCCTATTGCCCGCTCCCTATTTTTGAAAAGCTGCTCCGTTTCCACCTCATTTGCAAAATGCTTACTACAATCCCTCCTGTCGGTGAGAAACCTGGAGACTGCTGGAGGTCAAGGGGAGTGGTCCGTTGAGTGCGCCTGTTTTTAACTGACTCAACCCTACACAGCAGGAGCTATACTAGGCTTGTCTGAACTGCCCCAGTGCTGCCCCCTTGCTGGGGAGAATGCAGCTGCCTCCCTTAACCGTTACCACCTGCTCCTCAAAAGGTGCCATAGCAATTTCATCAGCTGTTAGCCAATAATGACTGTTACTGAAACCGGAGATGAAGGCTATGGCTTTGACCTGCACACTCCTTTACATATTACTAAAATGCACAAACAGATTCCAATAATGAATCCTAACTCAAAGATGGCACACTCATAAATGCAGAAATAAATGAAATTGAATTTAACCTCTTCACCCTTCTCTTACTCCAAGCTCCATTTTTTAAATGAAACCGCTTAAAAATTACTCAAGAGAATGGAAAAGTGAGAGTTGGAGCAGATGGAATCTTCATAGTCAGGTAGAAGGGCAAAGGTTAGTCTTCTTGATTTATTTTGAACAGACTGTGATGCCCATGCTTGCCCTGTTATCAGATTTCCAAAAATGGAAAATAAAATGCTGACAGAGGCAGCAATCACCTTGTGTAGCCCTTCGCAATAAAACACAATTTGAGTTTAAGTGGAAAATCACGTCTTCGGTGAAGTGGAAGGATGCCCTGGTACCATCAGGAGTGATGATTAAGGGCTTACTGAAACCCAGGTGAGGCACAGGATGGGTGAAACAAATAAGCAAACAAACTGGAGAAACCCCTGGAAGGACAGGGCTCAGAAGAATTCCCATGATTCCCTCCCAAAAGGCTACAAAGCTTGTCCTAAATCATTAAGGGAAGGCTTTCTCGCAGTTCTCCAACTGTGGTTCTGTGACCAGAGGCCTGTGACCTGTTAGTGACAAGGAGGACCTTTGAGTTTTACCATTTTAGAAAAAAAAGAGAGGCTAAGAAACTCCCCCACCCTTGTGTGCTCTGGAAAAGGCTGCAAAGAAACTTCCCCAAATGTCTTCGGTAAGACTTCAGGATCCCCTGTTCATTCACAAGACCAGACACAGACTTTGCAAACACCTATGTTTTCCCTCGTAATGACTGGCTGAACTGCTGATTAATCAGAACAAAGTGCTTGTTACTCTGACTTTGGTCAAACTTCTCTCCTTCCCTTGGGTGTCTGAACTTTGGCCAGTACACAGCCCCCTCCTGAGAACAGGCTGGTCTCAAACTGAAACGCTGCTCTGAGTATCCTTTGCCTTACCTAGGAACTCTTGCAGATTTATGGCCAAAGGTTCTCCTATCTACAACCCCCGTTCCCCAAAGGAATAGCACTTCTCCCCTCTTCAAATATCTCTCCCAAGGCAGTCTCTCTCTGCTCAATCCGGCCTCCATCATTTTTGGCGGTACTGATGTTAGAACTCAGGGCCTCACGCTTGCTAGGCAGGCATTCTACCACTCGAGCCACTCCACCGGCACATTGGCCTTGATTTTTATTTGTCATTAGATATAAATTTTCAGACTCCCCACCACCTCCCCAAACCTTTTGAGGGGCCAGGTACCCGAGTATCTCAGCAAGCCCTTCTGTAGAGCTTAGGAAGCACAGGGTTACAGATCGGGTTAACTCCCTCTTTCTGGCACTTCCCTCAGAGGATGAGTGCAAAGCTATTTCTGAGGGTTACCGTGGAAAGGTCTTAGCGTCTCCATGCACCATGTATCCATAAAGTTGCTTTCCAATACAAGGCCACAGACCTCCCCTCTCCCCTCCCCCAAGCATGCAACGGGGGCCAGCCAGTCCCCGCATACTTACATCTCCATCCATGGGCCTCTGGTCGTCACAGTCCCTGGTGGGGCTAATATCCTGGCGCATGACCCAGATGGGCTCTTTGGGCTCGTCGGGGGTGTAAGGCGAACGGATGGTCCTGGTTTTCACCTCCTCGATGGCTTCCTTGATATCTTTGATGGCCAGCGAGATGGCCTCCCTCTTCTCCTTGCTGTACCGCTGCCCCGCCTCGCCACTGCCCGCGGGGCCTGCTGCCCGCTGTTGCCCCGCGGGTGGCTGCAGCCCAGGGCTGTCGGGGCGACCCCCGCCCGGGGTAGGGGCGCGCTCCAGGTCCTGCTCAGCCTCGGGCATGTCCTCGGCCGCTTTGTCGAGGCTCTGCGAGCTCATGCTTTGCTTCACCTCGGCCACGATCTGGTCAATGTCCTCCTCCTGCTCGTAACTGTCCATGCGCGGATAGGGCGCGAACTCGGCCTCCTTCTCGGGGCTGTCGGACTCGCCATCTGAGCGCTCGTCGTAGTGGTGCAGCCGCGCGCCCAGGGCCTCTTGGCGGTACGCGGCCGCCTCGTCGCGCTCCTGCTCGTAGAGCCGCAGGCCATCGCGCGCGTCCAGCTCGGGCGCGTCCCCGATCTCCTCATACACGTGCTCCTGGAGGCCGCCGTAGTCGGCGTAGGGCTCGGCGTAGGGCTCGTCCTCGCCGCGGTGAAAGAGCCGGTGCGTGTAGACGTAGCCCGAGTAGGCCGCGTTCATGGCCTCCTCGTGCTCCAGCGAGTGGAAGTGCAGGTGGTTGGGCAGCGCGCGGCGGTGCGTGGCCTCCGCGTGCTCGGCCTCCGCCTGCTCCGTGTACTCCTCGGCCTCGGGCCGGTACTGCACGGCGTACGCGCTCTCGTCCTCGGGGTCCTGCGCGCGCTCCGCATCGTAGCCGTCGTGGGCCGCGGCGATCACGTCGCCCTCGGCGGTGTCCGTGTGATTGTGGAAGCCGCTCTCGGTGCTGGCGGAACGTGCCAGGCACTCCCCGCGCTCCTCCTCCTCCTGCTGTCCCTGCTGCGCGCGGAGGTCCTCTATGGCACGCCCGCGCGGGTGCCGACCCGCGTAGTGCGGCTGCGGCTGGTGCGGTGGCTGCTGCTGCTGCTCCTCCTCCACTTCGGGGTGCTCCAGGTCGGCCTCGACCGACTCATTCACCTCCCCGCCTGCCGCCTCGTCGGTCACCTCCACCTCCGCGGAGCCCTCCAAGTGGTTCATGGTGGGCGTCGGGGAAGGCTGGGAGACAGGCTGGGTTGGCTCACTGCGCTCTCATTTTTCTCCACTGCCCTGGAAAAACAAGAAGGGAGAGGCTATTGCGTGGTTCAAACTGTAGTCATGAGCTGAACAGCAAGAGAACCACAAAAACAGCTGCTATTGATCCCCTTGTGAATGTCGGTCAATTAAAAAAAGACTGCAAATTTAAGCTCAATCTGACAGTAGGTAGCTCATGCACGTGTCATAATTTGTAATTACATATCGATTTATTTAATTGCTTATTGCATGCTCCCTTCCCCAACCCTCAGACTGAGAGCTCCAGGAGCGTTCTGGCGCCACTGTGCATATAATTCAGGTTCCATTTCTGATGTATATGAATAGCTTACTACTCATTGAATGGGCCAACTGGCACATTTTCCATCTGCTGAAGAATAATTCTCTAAATTAAGCTAGGATTCTAGATACTTTAAAAGCAATACTTTAAATGTTAATGAAAAATATTCTTGAAGTCTTTTTGAAGCCATTTGCTGTCAATAGAAGTATGCACCCTTTCTGAAGGAGACTATCAACAGGGTCTGGGCCAGTCATTTCTGGCTCTGTCACCTCTCATAAGCTTTCTGGACCACCACGAAAAGACTGAATTCTTTTCCTGCATGTAGGATCTTAACTGCTATTACAGAGGGAAAAAAGGAATCCATGGCCAAATAAGTTTGGGAAGTGCTGAGCTACAGTTGAGTTTTCATTGGGGAGAAAGATACAAATGCAGGGTTTCCCTAACTTGTTTGACCAGGAAATGCTTTTTTTCACCCAAGATGCCAGAGATCTGACAAATACATTAAAGAAGCACTAACTAGCTGGTTTCAATACCTTCCCCACATCTAAAATCCTATGATTGCCATTACAGCTGGAACTAGATTACAATGGCTAATTTTTTTTTTTTGGAAAGCTTGGGTGGGGTAGGTCTCTGCCTATTTCTAGAGAGAGAGATTTGGTTCCAACTATCAATTCTTCTTGTCATAAAATAACTTTATAGTATAATCTGTGCACAAGGCATATGGAAATAGACACAAAATAAAGAAAATAGCCAGGATCCCTAGGGTTTCCAAACACCTGTGGTAAATGAGTTCAACAGTATGTGTGAACTTCTTTCATTGTGTCTTTTTGGTGAGTCCATTTTACAAAAGGGCAAATGGATGGGAAGTGAGCTCTTAAACATAATAGCAGACAACTTCAGGAAGACCAGAGACATCTGACTCACTCTAATATTGGCATGCACTGTACTCCTTTACCACAACCACAGCAATGTCCTTTCAACATTTATGACAGGCCAAGAAGAAAAGGAAGCCATTTTGGAGCTACCACTTTTACCTTCATATAGAACAACCATGTACCCCCCCATTCTTTGATGGATTCGCCCCTGACTAAAACTCACTAGAAAAAAACACTCATGGTTTACCAAACACAAATAAACCTTATTACTTCCCTACTTGAAAAGTATCCTACTTCATACAAATAAGACCCAGTCTCTTTTGAAGAAGCGTGGCCTCCTTTCATTAACCCCTGAACACAGTGACTGTGGATGGAGTATAAGAAAGTTTCCCCAAAATATGTAAGTCATCATCTAGACAGTGAAAGAAGGTTAAGGTTCTGAACAGAAGAGACAAGTGTTGGGCTGAAGGTGACCTGGTTAAGTGGCTTCCAGTGGATTATGGAAAATATCAATATTCAATACAATAGAACATGTAGACAGGAACAGTGTATCTAAGTTTCCTTTATAAGGACTCTCTAGAAATAACTGACACAAACTGGATGAGAGGTATACTGACTCCTTAGGGTACAAATCTAAGTCTGACGAACACATGGTAATTGTTCACAGAGGGGAATACCACAGACTTCCCTGGTACTCCTGCCCATCAGGCATCTTAGCTGTGTGTGGTCAATGTTAGAAACACAGCAACAACCATACGAAACACCTGAATGGCTAATAACTCGTGATTATCTTATGTAGAACTGTCTTCAGGGAAAAGGCCTTTTTCTCCTACTGACATATGCATTGAAAGAAATTTTAATTTGTTCTAGGTTAAAAAATCATACCTGACCAGTAATTGGTGCCCTCATAAATCATGTATTGACTCAAAGGAAACAGCACTTTGTGCAGGTACATACACTAAATCATGGTAAAGAAAGTTCTTTTTGGGGAAAAATACTGTTAAAATAATGTAGTTTTGGTACAGTAGCGCTGTTTCTTTACTAAGTGTGTTCTCTTGGTTTCCCGCTCCTCAAACCTTGGGGGAATACTTGTTCATACAGCACTCATACTTCATCCACCATTGTAGTTTCAAAACAGTGTGTGATACTGCAGCGTGTTAACAAATAACAGACATTGTCTTGAGGGGTTTCCCCAGGACAAAAGCAACTAGCACTTTCTAAGGAAGCAGCTGAAGCAAGAGAGGACTGGTCCCTTTACCCTGGCAACTTTGGGGGTGGTATTTATTAAGAAAAAATGTCCACTGAGATTGTTTTTAAAGAATCCCACAGGTTATTGTTGGAGTATTGTACACCTTTTTGAGAAGCAGTATGGCAAAATCTGTCTCCCAAAAGTAGCATAGCTTTTGCCCCAGTGATTCCATTTGCTTCAAAAGTACAAATTATAACCAGTAGCCATGGAGCACTAACATTAAGTGCTTTTATTAAGTATGGTGCTAAGCATGTGTTGTGGTTCGGATATGAGGTTCCTCTCCCCCACCCCCAAAAAAGAAAGTCTCATTGTTGAAGTCTTAGTTCCAATGCAGCAGTGTTCCCAGCTGGGGCTTTTGAGAAGTTACTGGATCATGAGGACTCTGACTTCATGGATAGATTAACCCATGACTGGATTTAGAGTTTGATGGCATTATTGAGAGTGGAAGTTGGGAGAAGTGGGCCATTGAGGGTGTGCCCTAGAAAGATACACCTTTTCGCTGGTGCTTTCCTGTCTTGCCCTGTTTCCTGGATACCTTGAGGTGAGCAATTTTGGTCCTCCATTCTCTTTCTGCCATGATATTCTGCCTCATCACAGACCGATAGCAATGGAGACAACCCACCATAGACTGAAACCTCTGAGACCAGGACCCCAAATCTTTCCTTCTTCAAGGTGATTTTCTCTGGTATTTTGTCACAGCAACAAAAGCGAACACAGGCTGTTAGCACTGTATCATGATCAAGAAGATGTGGGATTTTCTTGCTTGGCAGCTCTAGCTGGAGCTTAACCAGCCATAGTTGAAGAAATGATAGCTCTTCACTCTCCCTCCCCATCCTGACTCCCAAACCTGCCCCTGCTCCTGGGTTTCCTGTGGCACCACCAGCCACCTAAGGAATCGTCACCTTCCCTCACCTACTTCCCCAAACTGATGAGTGAATCACTGCTTTATTAACCCTCAGCTAGGTCTCCCTCCCCTCCCTTGTCTGGGTTTATCGTGCCCACACAGTTTGTTTCCTTCACTGATTTCTCTGCCCACCCCCTGGCCTCCACACTGTCAACCTGAAGATCTTTCTGTAACACAAATCTGAACCATCACCATGCTCCTCACACCTTCGGTGACTCCCCACTAGTGAATAGTACAAAAGCTTAGCTGGCTGTGTAGCAGGCACCATTAGGCATTTGCCACATAACTTGACCCTCACACTGCTCTGATGAAGCATGCTTTTCTAGAAATGAAGAAAGGGAGGCATGGGGAGGTTAGGTCATTTTCAGGTTACACCCTGGTAAGAGATGACATTGGTGTTGGATCTCTGCTCTTTAGCTTGGGAGTCTGGGCTCTTCAGTTCTACTCTTGTCCAGGCCCTTCACTTCTCCAGCTCCATCTCTGCTCTTTACACTGTGTTTGTGTTTCAGCAGCTTGAAGTCCTGGTGCTGTCCCTAACTGTCTTCCCTGTTCGTGGGATAATTTTTACCTATAATGTTCCTTGGTGACTTTTGCTTTTCATCCCATAGCAAGTTTATACTTGATTAATATCTGTTAGGTGCCGGCCTCCAGGCCATGTCCTAGGCATTGGGGCCAAGCAGTAGCTAAGCCAGAGAAGGCTCCCGAATTTCAGAAGGCCCTCCTTCTCAGGTATGGTGAAGATGGAGGGACAGAAGAGGGAGAAAGACAGTAATTACATAAGGTAGTAAACACGATGACGTCACAGTGGAACATTTTCAAGAGTATACAGTAGGGTGATGGGGTAGAAAGTGAAGAGAAGGGCTTATGAGGACATTCACAAGAGGACCTGGCATTTAGCTAAAGTCTGAATGTTGAAGTCTGTCTTCTAAAGATCTGAGAGCCTCAAGGTGACAAAGGACAGGATCAATATCTGTGGGCAGGTGTGGAGTAAGGGAAAGTGAGTTGGGAGATGAGGATGGAGAGAAGGACAGGGGCTGAGTTGGGCAGAGTTTAGCCACCATGGTTAAAGGTGTGAGTTTTATTTCAAGGAGTGGCATCCTATGGAGTTTAGGATAAATCTTGATAGCCCTTCCCTTCCCACTGTACTCTATCTATGTACCTATGTCTATCTATCTCTCTCTCTAATTTATCTAGCTCATCCATTTCTCCTGTCACTCTGGGTAATAATTATTTAGAAATATGAAGTCCTTGAGAAAAGAGAGCTTGTCATATATTGCAGATCCTCCGATGCCAAGTATAGTTGGTAAAAAAAGAAAAAAAATTTCCATCCCCTCCCTCTCTCACCCAATAGCTGGGGCCTCCTAGACACTGGTATGATTGGCCTTTGGAGAATACTCATTTCTTCTTTTCATCTTGAGTCTTTGCTGCCCTCATCCACCCATTGCAACCACCTTCGCCCTCTTCTGATGTTTGAGGCCCCAAAGGATGATAGCGGGTCAACATTCTCCTACACTTGAGTGTGTTGAACCAATTAGCCTTTATTGAACAAATACTAGGTAGGGGCAGGGCAAAGGGAATTCACGTTTCTAAAACACAGTCCCAGCCTTCAAGGGCAGACAGCTGTAATGGTTATAATACCCAGAGTTAAATTCGAAATAGAAATGTGGTCAAGACACTGAAGGAGCTTAGAGTTAAGACAATGACA